AGAGTCGCAGTGAATCTCGGGAAGAGGGGTGCAGGGCCCTAACTCCCCCACAATCCGCAACAGTGATATAACCTAGTTATTGAGAGACTGTATAATTTATGTTGGGGTAGTGGAATGTTTACTATACACCATAATGTTTGAATGCAATAGTGGCTGTGGGAAGAACAAAGAGCAAAGCAATACAGTGACTTCCCAGATAAGAACACCTAGGCCTTGGCTACACTTGCGAGTTACAGCGCAATAAAGCAGCCCCGGGCACACTAGCTCACTCCCCGTCCACACTGGCAAGGCACGTAGAGTGCTCTGATTCCGCAGCTACAACGGTGCTGGTATTCCACCTCGGCAAGTGGAATAACGTTTGCTGCACCCCGGCTGGAGCACCGCGGCGCCAGTGTGAATGAGGTGTTGTGTTACTTGTGGCACCTTAGAGACTAACAAATTTATTTGAGCATAAGCTTTCATGGGCTACAGCCCACTTCATCGGATGCATAGAATGGAACATATAGTAAGGAGATATACATATGCATACAGAGACCATGAAAAGGTGGGAGTTGCCCTACCAACTCTAAAAGGCTAATTAAGAGAAAAAACTTTTGCAGTGATAATCGAGGTAGCCCATTTCAGACAGTTTGACAAGAAGGTGTGAGAATATAACATGGGGAAATAGATTCAATGTGTGTAATGGCTCAGCCATTCCCAGTCTCTATTCAAACCTAAATTGATGGTATCTAATTTGCATATTAATTCAAGTTCAGCAGTTTCCCGTTGGAGTCTGTTTTTGAAGCTTTTCTGTTGCAAAATTGCCACCTTTAAGTCTGTTACTGAGTGACCAGAGAGATTGAAGTGTTCTCCTACTGGTTTTTGAATGTTATGATTCCTGATGTGAGATTTGTGTCCATTTATTCTTTTGCGTAGACACTGTCCGGTTTGGTCAATGTGTAACAGCAGGAGCAGCAGACCATGCTAGCTGTTCCTGTATGTACCTGCGCTCCACACAACCCCGACCCCACCCCCTGCTGCTGTGACTATCCTGCTATTGTTAGTCGAGCTACCTTTGATCTAGCTAGATTGAAGCTAGCTCAGGCATGTCTACAGGAGATGCAGTCACGCCTCTTAAGTTCAGTGCAGGTGTAAGCGGGGGAATGGTCCCGCTATTGTGGGGAACTTTCCTGGCTT